CAAGGTTATTAGCTTCTTTGCATTTGGTTAGAACATGCTCCGTTAGCTCAGTTTAGTTTTTTATTACCCATTTTCTGAAGCCTACTTTTGTCAGTTAGTCCATTTGTTCCTACATCCAGTTCTGTGCCCTTGATGGAGAGACTTTGCAATCATTTGGAGTAGAAGAGACACTCTGGCCTTTTGGGTTTTCAGCATTTTTTCATTGATTCTTTCTCATCTTTGTGAGTTTGTCTAGTTTTGGCCTTTGAGTCTGCTGACCCTTGGATAGGGTTTTGTGGGGGCCTTTTTGTTGTTGTTGTTGACGCTATTGCTGTTGCTTTCTGCTTATGTGTTTTTCTTTCAATAGTCAGGTCCCTCTTCTAGGGCTGCTGCAGTTTGCTGGGGTTCACTTCAGGACCTAGTCATCTGATTGGATCCCATGTCTGGAGATGTCACTCAAGGGGGTTGGAGAGCAGCAAAGTTGGGTGCCTGTTCCTTCTTCTGGGGCCTCTGACCTTGAGGGGCACCAACCTGATACCAATAGGATCACTCCTTTACAGGATGTCTGACAACCCCTGTTAGAGGTTCTCACCCAGTTGGATGGCATGGGGAGCAGGACCAATTTAACAAAGCACTTTGTCTCTTGGCAGAGAGGGTATTTCTCTGGGGGAACCCACTCGTCTAGGTTTCCTGGATTCCTCAGAACGACCAGGTGGAAAGGCTAAGTCTTCTAGTCTGCAGAGACTGTGACCATCCCTACCCCTAGGGGCTTTGGACCAGGGAGATCTGAATTCTGTCCCTGAGCCTCTGGCTGGAGTTATTGGAGATCCTGGAGGGAAGCCCTTCCCACTGAAGAAGGATCGGTAAGGGTTGGGCCTGAAGAGGCACTCTGACCACAGACTGCCACAGTTGGTATGTTGGTCTATGGGGACAAATATTGGACTGTAGGGACAAGTATTGGAACATGGCAGGGGAAAAGTGCAGCCTGGAGCTATGGAAATGGGTGCCACCATTCCCCTGCCCAAGGAGCTTAGAATATTAGGCAGCTGTGCATCCCAGTGCTGGCTGCTGTCACTTTCCCAGGGAGCTCAAATGGCTTAGATAGCAGGCAGTTGCAGCTGGTACTGGTCACCCCTCCCTCTGGGCGTTCCGTAGGCTTAAACAGATTTCAGCTGAGAGACTGTAAGAATCTGTGCATTCTGGAGTTGGGACTGTAGGCCCTAGTGGTGTGGGCTTGTAAGTGGGATCTTTCAATTCATGGCATGCACAGTGCTGTGAAAAAAACACAGCTTCCCTGGCTGAATATCACGCTCACTCACAACCTTCCTTGGCTGGGGGTCAGGGGTTCCCTTTCCCTATGTTGCTTTCAGGTGGGCAGCTGTACCACACTGTTCTTCTTTCTCTCTGTGGATCATGCCAGCCTTCTTTTTTTTTTTTTTTTTGAGACGGAGTTTCGCTCTTGTTGCC